TGCATTTCCAAATTACCTTATGTAGAAAATCAGGCATCTCATCACCATTAACATTGTATACTGGTCACATCTAATTAAGGAAATAATAATAGTTAACATTTATAGTGTTTGCCCTATGCCAGGCATTATGTTAGGCACTTTACACTCATGTGAAGTAAACTGAAGTAACTTGCTTAAGGTCACCCAGTTAACAAATTTCAGATCTATGTATCTTTCCAATATGTCTTAGTACCAAAAGTACAATAAATTCTGACTTATCTTAAGCATCAAATTAGGAGTGACACATTTCATTTAAAATTTGACCAGAATGAATTCAATTACCTGGATCTATGTTCCAAATGGTATTACACAGAATCTGGGGTTATGATTTTAATACTGACTGTAGTATTTTATTTTACACAAATGCTACTTATTCCAATCATTTCATATTTTGGGGTCCACTGTTTCCAGCCAATCTGCTGCTAAGGATTGTAAAAGTGGCAATCTGATATTACAATTTAATCTACCCTAATTATCACACTTAAGATCATGTTTTAATTTAGTTCAAATCTCAGTTCCAAAATCTCAGAAGGAACTTATAACTCTATGATTTCTTTTATGAATAGGAGTCTCATATAATTTATAGTCAAATTTCTAATTTTAACACATCAATTTAAAAAGTTATTTTAAAATTGACCAGTACTTAATTTTAGTTTGTAAGACTTCCTAAATTCTAGCTAGATATTCCAAGCAAACTCAATTACCTTTTGGTTGTTTCCTGATTCACACAAACCTTTCCCCTTTTTGTGAACCAGGAAAGGGTTAAGTGCCAGTTCTGTTCTGAAGTGTACAACTTTTCCCTCTCTTCCCTCAAAACTTTCACTGACATAGTCCCTAAATCTGTCTCTAATTAGTGAAGTGACCTCTTTTTGTGAACCAGGAAAGGGGTAAGTTCCAGTTCTATTCCAAAGTGCAAGCCTTGAAACTTTCACTGGCACAGCCCCTCAGCCCATCTCTCTGTAATCACTGAAGTGACCTTTTTCTCTTAGATCTAAAGGGAAAAAGTTGCCTCCTCAACTTCCCCTGCTTTTTTTTTTCTTGTCTGTCCCTTTACATCCCAGAACTTAGCCATAGTTCAGGAATGTAGAGGGAAATAAAGAATACTTTTTGACCTTTTAGGGGTTTAATTAACAAGATAGAAAGATTTGCCAGCATATGTCTTATTTCTTTCAAATTCTGATCCTACTCAAATTATCTTCACTGAATATATTCTATTTTTCTCTCTCTCTTCTGTTCACCCATCCAGGCTGCTGCAATTAGCCAGAGATAGAGGGAGAGAAGGAGAAAGAGGCTGTCTTACAATTACATGCCATATCACTTTTCTGTCTACATGCTTAACTCTCTTCAAGCCGGCTAACTGGCAAACCATTGTTTCTACATGTTTCTTCTAACTGGAATTTCTTTCTATTCTCAGCCTCTGAGTCTAGCAACTTAGTAGTGGCTTCTTTCAATGCTATGAGGACGGGCTAACCTACATTTATTTGCTTCTACTTTCTTCCCTTTGCCCAACCTAATGGAATATAGTTCCATCAGAAGGGACTCTAGGCTTTTTGGCTTGTTCAGGGTATCCCTACTTACTCGATGCTTCAAATGTGTCTAACACAGGTGCCCGCCCAGCCCCACCTCCATGGAGGTTATCCAGGGATTCCCCCAAGGCCTATCTCCTACTCAGTTGGCATTGCATTGGTATCCTGCCTGACTGTGCCAATTGTAAGGTCTGGAATTTTCTTGGCTGGGGAACCCTGTAACTCCTTCATAACCATGGGATGTTCTTTTCATACCAAAGGAAGAGGCCAAGTATCTCCAGATTGATTATACGTAGTAATGTAATCAATCATTACGAATACTTATAAAACAGGGGCAATCTTCAGCCTGGGGTGGCAGCCAGATAGTTCAGTAGATCCCTGCAAAGAACCCTAAAAATCCCCATGGTAATTATAGAAAACAGACAAAGGGAGGAGGAGCTATTGAGTGCATCACTACTGATTGGTGGATATTTTTGGTTTTCTGCTTAGTAATGAACTTGGGGGTTAAGCCAATGTCATGCCCAAACATAAGTATAGTTGGATAACCTCAGGCATTATCTAAAAATCAATGTTTTAAATGTAATACTTTTCAACAACTGGGCTAAAATAACTTGAAAACCAGTCTTTGAAAATAGCTTTAGTCATTCATGCTTTCTTATTTGATCACCTCCATCCTCCTTTGTGACTTCCAGGGAATAGGAGGTCCTGGCTGCTAGTCCCAAGAAACTAAGTAGGTGGTAGTACAGGGTAATTTTCCATATGAATCCTGGCACTGGGACAGGCTGCATACTAATGAGTTAACAAAAGATGACCTTGACCAATGAGTATCAGTATGCAGGAAGTGTCATAATCTTCATTATAGCTCTCACGTTCCACGTGCTGCTCTGTTTCCCAATCCACTGTGAATTGCAAAGATTTGGTAAGACCCACCATTTAGACCAGATCTTTTATTGATTTATTTGAGTTACTTAACAGATATAGTATGTTATTTAATAAAGTAAAATGTAGCAGAATGTCTCTGCTATTTATAATCATTTATTTTTCAAGTGTGATTACACAGGTACACTCCTGTTCTTCATTCATTTCTCACCAAAACCTCTTCATCTTGGAAGATCACTTCAGCCCTAGAATTCACAGCTGGAAAGTACCTTCTGACCCTGTAGCCTCTCCTTCTGATTGGATGGCTTCTCTCAGAACTTCCATTTAAGTAGAGGCCCAGGCCAGCTATCTCTGTCTGGTCTTCAATCTTCCATATTTGGTCACTTTGTGGGATAGGGGATGGGGGAGCGTATTACATTGTTTGTTATCTTTTGTTTTGTTTTTGCAATCTTTCTGGTTTAAATTTTCTTCAGGTGCTGCCTATGCCAAACTCCTTGCATTAAAGACTTTAAGGACCTTGTCACCAAGTGTGTGGAGCGCGATAGGAACAATATCTAAACAGGCCTATCCCGTGCAAGTTAGGCTAATTTTTCTTTTAAAGGTATTGAAACTGTCCTTGAGGTTCATTTGGGTCAGGGGACTAAGACTCTACCTGTTGACTTCATTTCCTCAACATCTGAATACAAAAACCAAGAGATTTTTGTAGTGAGGCCACCATAAGTAATACAGAGGTAGGCAAACTATGTTTAGCTGAGTTAACATAGTGCCCTAACTGATTATCTTTGTTAAGTGCTATTTCCTTCAAGAGGCCTTTCTTGATTTTTCTAGTTATTCCTGCTTCCAGCTTTCCCTTCATCTCCTATCACTTGGTGTTTGTTTTATATAAACATATCTATTTATTTTGGAGAAGTAAATGACAAACCACTCCAATATTTTTGCCAAAAAGATCCCATGGACAATACAGTCTACAAGGTCAGAAAGAGTTGGACATGATTGAACAAAAACAATCTACCTATATGCTCATTCACTTGTTCATTTATTTATTCAGCCAAGCCATCTATCTATCTATTGTTACAAGTATTACACGTAAAGCTCAAGGGCAGGGACTGCTCCACTTTCGTTCTGTATCCTCATCATCTATCATTGTGCCTGGAACACAGCATAACAAACAGATAAATGATTGTCGATTGTCTTATATGAATAAATCACAAATTTTGTTACCTAACCTATATAAAAGCCTGTTTTATAAGGATAGACATTGTTGATCTTACCAGTATTAATTACTGATCCTAGAGGCTGAGTTAATATTTAATCTTGAGTCCTTAATCCACACTTGTTGGATTTCTAATCAGTCTTCAAAAATCAATGGAGGGGCAGCTAGGTGGCGCAGTAGATAGAGTACCGGCCCTGAGGTCAGTAGGAACTGAGGTCAAATGAGCCCTAAGACCAAACACTTGACGCTTACTAGCTGTGTGACCCTGGGCAAGTCACTTAACCCCAATTGCCTAAAAATAAATTAATTAATTTAAAAAAAAAATCAGTGGAACGTATTCTAAATCTAACTAATTCGCATAAAGACAAGAGTGCAGAGAATGCAGAATCAATTTCTAAAGTGTTCATATGTATATATTTCTATACATGTGAAAGCAGCTGTCAGAAGAGTGAGTGTCATGAGAAGGAGGGTCATAGTTATGTACGGAACTGGAGAAGTCTCGTTTTTAATTAGTATTTTTAAATTTTTCATATATTTATTAGTTTTAATTAGTATTATTTGATTATTATAAATTATGGCTAGCTCTTCGGAAGGCACTCTACTAATGACCACGGGGCAGGGATGTGGATAAGTACTCTCTGTTTATATTATGTAATATTTAGCATCATTTCGTTCTGCCAAACTAAAGCTTAAATAACTGGTCAGAATTGAGTTCATTTTCTTTTGAAAGAGGAAACTTAAATTTACATTAATTAAACAATTCCTCAACCCTAATACAGATAAATAGATGCTTCTTGATTTTCTTCCACCCTCCCAGATCGGTTCTTTGAAAAGTTCAAAATGGCTCTAATACTCAGGTAGAGCCGCGTTCATTGATTCAATTGGCTGAGCTGCCCTTGTCAATCGAAAGCCCACCTGGGTGCCCCGGGAACCATTCTGTGGCGCCACCGCCGATTCCTGAAACGTCCTACCTTTTCCTCCGCATGATCGACGCGGCAATATGTCGGCCCCCGCGAACCAGCATGAGGACCCCGCTTTGTCTTCATTTATTCTCTATACAGCAGCAACGCTCCGTTTTGGGAATACAATCTCTTTTTATTGTATTTTAAGCTTTCAAGTTTTACTCCCAACACAGACTCAGCATAACTTAGATCCGTCCGAGGTGATTTGAATTCCACAGAGGTGGACGCCATGTTGTACGGAAAACTGGTGCACAGCTGAGGCGGAGGACGGAGGGCGGGGGAAGTCGGAAGTCGATGGTGTTTGGGGGAGGAGCTAAGAGGTGCGAGGAGAGGTGGGGTTGCTAAGCAATGATGCAGTTCCTCTTTTGCTGTCTCCCGTAGCTTGTGGTTGGACCGGTTTGTTGGGGGGAGGGATAAAGGGAAGGTAGAACGAGGTTGGTTGTCACTGAGAAGCCCCGGACACTGGAAGGTAAACTGAGGCGCGGGCAGGACTGGGGCTGAGGAGGGAGTGAACATTTGGCTGGGGGTGTTTGAGCAGACGTGTTTTGGGGCTACGGTTGTGTGAGTTTGGAAGGAGGAATGTGGGGTAGGGCACTGAAATGAGAGTAATGAGAAAGAGAAGGAAATTAAGGGCAGGAGCCTCTGGGGCAGGTCTGGGGGCTCGAGGTGTTGGAAAGATCTTCAGGGCGTGCGATAAGAGGAGTAGAAGGTGGGACCAAGAATAGTGCAAGTGCTGAGGGAGGAGAGAAGAAAGAGGCTGTTAATGGTTGAGACGAGAGAGACTAAGGAATAGTAGAGTTGGAAGGGCCCCAAGACCATCTAGTTCAACCACTACCTTACTGAGAATCCATGTATGAGCTCCCCAACTGGTGGTCATCCAGTTTTAGCTTTGAAGACTTTTAGTGAGTTGGACCCCCACACCTACTGAGGCAGCCCATCCCATTTTTGGATAACCCTAATTTTTAGGAAGTTTATCTTTCTAACTTTGTCCTATTCTCTGCGACTTCCACCATTACTCCTAGTTATTGGTGCCAAACAAAATAAGTCTAATCCTATTCTAACATATGACAGTCCTTCAAATACTTGAAAACAGTTATCATGTCTTTTCTTCTCCAGGCTAAACGTCCCTCACTTCATTCAACTTATCCTCATATGAAATGGTCTCAAAGCCTTTTACCATCCTCTGTCAGGAGGTTGGTAAAGGTTCATAAGGAAGAAGAAGGCTGGTGAAGGTCGAGTAGAAGATGAGAGAGGAGGAAGGAGGCTGGTAAAAGAATGAGAAAGCAAGGAGCTAGGAAGGGGGTAGGAAGAGGGAGAAGGTGAGAGCTTTCCCTCTTACCCTCTACCTCTATTCCCCCTAGAATGAAGAAGGGTTTAGAGGAGATAAGAGGTGGTTGATAAAATGCTAAAGGAAGTAGGTTGGAGAAATGGGGGAGGGATGGTATGCTCTGTTTGAATAGACAAAGACAGAGGGTGAAAGAGATGCAGTGTATTTTGGTGTTGGGAAGTGGAGTAAAAGAAGAACCTTGGACTAGTCTTGGGAAGGAGAAAATTGGTTAGTATAGGCAATTCAGAAAAAAAGGGGTAGGCAGATGAAGAAGTAGGGCCTTCAGAAATGAGGACCCTTCACAGTTAGCATTTTTGAGAAGAGATGGAAGGCTTCCATTTGGTGGATTTGTTAGAGATGAGCAACCAGCTTTTGGTTAGAGAAGATTAGAGAGGAAGAGGAGTGGAATAGAAAATGGGAGGGATATGGATTGATGACCAGAGAAATAAAGGGAGAAATTAAAAGAGCATTGTGAGAGAGTTGAGAGAGGAGATTGGGAATGAATTGGCATTTGGGGAGAAGACTTATTGTTGGGGGCTCTGAATTTGAGATTAATATGCCTTTTGATCTTTGTAATCTCCTCTCAGAAATCTCCAGAGACCAAGCCAGGTTTCTGCCTTCATTCAGGCTCGACCATATCACTTCAGCTACCACCTCATCCTGGAGGCACTCTGCCTCTTCCCTACCCGAATGGTGCTACTTCCTGCTGCCCCAGGATCCAGGTCTCTTCTGTTCCCTACCTCAGAGCTGGGGTTCCAAGTCTCTCCTAGTAGAAGGACCCTTACCAGGAAACAAGGACTTTCCCCTAGACAGTATTTCTCCAAACTAAGAAACCTGTTTATCAGTTTGAATTTGACCCTCTAACCATTGTTTTACCCTCTCTGAGGACTCAAGAGCTCTTGTCCTTATACCTCCTTTCTTCATCCTTTGAGGAGAAACTTCTCCCTAATAGCTGTAGCTTGGGTCCCTGGTCCCAACATGCTAGTCTGTTTTTGTGAATAGGGCCTTGCCTATTTCCTGGTTGGCATGGCTGAGCCAAGACAGGTTCCAGGTGGCCGGGAGACTCCACAGGGGGAGCTTCGGCCAGAGGTTGTTGAAGATGAGGCCCCTCGGAGTCCAAGTCAAGAGGAGATGAGAGGAGGACAGAGCGGCAGTAGCAGTGAGACAAAGTTATCTCCTAGAGAAGAGGAGGAACTGGATCCTAGAATACAGGTGAGAAAATGAAAATGTTTGAACAACTCTCTTGGAGAAGAGGGATTCAACTAATTCTTTGTTTCTTCAGAAGGAATTTTAAAATAAATGGGTAGAAGTTACAGGGAGATAGATTTCAGTTTAATACTGTGAAGCTGGCTAGGGGAGGAAAAATGAGCCCTGGATTTGGAATGAAAAGACTTTCTACTTATTAAGTGACCTTCCTGTATATGCCACTTCTCTCTGGGCCTCAGTTTTCTCAACTTTAAAATGAAAGAGTTGGATTAATTCATAATTACCTAATACATAAGATCCCTTTCAACCCTTTAACATTCTGTGATTCTGTTATTGTATTGTATGTCTCCCATCACTGGAAGTGTCAAGGCAGAGGACTGACATTGTTTAAGAGATCTTGTAAGGTATTCTTTATATTTGGGAGGTGTTGGATTATGTGACCTCCAAGAAGCATGCCTTTTATGTCAGCAAGTTTAGATAAAATTTTTTATACTTAATATTCCTTTTTCCTTTTCCCAGGGGTGCACTGGAGCCAACTTGAACTGGCTCTCAAGAGCAAGTAGTTTACATTTTTAGTGTTAACATTTACACTTCCTAAACTGGCAAATGCTGCATTATTGTTTTGGTGATTGTTTAGACTTAAATTAGAGAAAATGTTAATGCAAAATAAATTTAAAAATGTCTTGTACATACATATTTTCCCCATAGAGCTGATTGATGAATATTTATCAATACACTGCCACATTTTCTCCTATCCCCTTCTAACAAAGTCTCTTAGGGCATATTACAAATCTAGAGGATAACACTCAGTGTAAAAGTACTGTTCACAAAGCAACGTGTGAACAATTGGAAATGAATAGAATGCAAACTGAATTTCTGAGTGCTGAAGAGAGTAAGAGTAGAGGAATTGAGTGTTGTCAGCAGAATTAGGAGGAGGCACATTTTTCTTTTTTTTTTTTAGGCCATTGGGGTTAAGTGACTTGACCAGGGTCACACAGCTAGTAAGTGTCAAGTGTTTGGTCTGAGGTCACATTTGAACTTAGGTCCTCCTGACTTCAGGACCAGTGCTCAGTCCACTGCGCCACCTAGCTGCTCCGAGGAGGCACATTTTGAAGTAGGTAAAGGAGAAGGGAAGACTACAGTGCTTTTGTGTACCAAGTTGACATCTTGGTTAAGCAATTTTGCTGTGGCCCCACTGTTATGGATATAGCTTCTGAGAAGCCACTTAGTCCCAAATCCTTGAACTTCTGCCTACAAGCATTTTTTGATGGACCTCTATATTTAGATTTCTATACAGATGCCATGATGGGCAAAGAAATAGATTAGGTCACTGTCCTTAAAATGTTTTTCTCTTTGTTTTTTAAAAAAATTATTATAGATATCTTTTTTTAATATTACCAGAATGTCTTCCAGAATATTTTCTTCTCTCACATATCAGAGAGCCATCCCATGAAACAAATATTTTTAAAAAGAAAAAAAGTAGGAAGAGGAAAAAAATAAGCAGAACTGATCAATATTTTGGAAAAAAAAAAATATGTGCAGTGTACCACACCTGTTGACTTCCTGCCTCTGCATGATAGTGTAGTGAAGGTATCTCAATAGTGATAGCAACAGCAGAGATAATAATAACCCACATTTATATAGTGCTTTAAAGTTTGCAAAGCATTTAAAAAATATCTCATTTTATCCTCACAACATCCCTGGGAAGTAGGTGCTATTATAATTTCCATTTTACTGGTGAGGAAACTGAGACAAAGAGAGATTAAGAGACTAGCCCAGGATCACATATCGGGTAAATGTCTGAGGCTAGAATTGAATTTAGATCTTCTGAACCCCAGGTTTAGTGCCCTGTTTCTTTTGTATCTTCTCTTCTCTCTCTCTCTCTCTTTTTTTTTTTGAATCCATCTCTTCTTTGGGACCATGCTTGTTCTTTGTAATTTTGTGACATTCACTTTAATTTTTTATGGTAGTGGTTTTTTTCCATTTATATAGCTGTAGTTTTCTTGGTTCTGCTTACTTTACTCTGCGTCAGATTTATATCTTTCTGTTCTTTGTATTCATCATATTCATCATTTTGTACCATGTACCACAATTTATTAGCCATTCCTCAACCTTTGTGTATCTATTTTGTTTCAAATTCTTTGCTGTCACAAAAGCTACTGTTATAAATATTTTGGTGTATATGAGGACTTTTTTTTTTTTTAAATCAATGATCTCTGAGGTATAAGCCTAGTAGTGGAATTGCTGGGTCAAAGATTATAGACATTTTAGTCACTTTACAGAATGGTTCTTTCTCAGATGTTTTGCTGACTGTCTGACATTAATTGATTTCTGTTTTATTTCATCATATGAAATGCACCAATACCCCTTAATTCTTTCATAAACTAAAAGAATTTAGGTCCAGTAGTCAAGTGAAAAAAGCCTTGGCCAGAGAGTTAGGAGATCTGAATTCTATTTCCAGTTCTGCCACCAACTGTGATTTGTACAAGTTACTTAGGTTTTCTAGGTCTTCATTTCCTCTTCTGTGAAATGAAAGGGTTAGACCAGATGATTTTGCGATTCCTTTTAGCTCTACTATTAATATGATTCTTATTCCTAACAACTTATACATTCTTAATGACCTAGAGCTAGATTTCTTTGTTTAATGTGTAAACTTGGCTTGGAGTCTTCACATAAGACTTGGAGAAAATACTCCTCTTTGTAGTTGAATGAGCAAAGCTGCTTAGCTCCCTTTGTCCCTTCCCTTGTCTACAGTCAGGAAAGAAAAGACACTTTTCTCATTGATGGAGGTTCTCTTGAGAGTTCTGCAGAGCCTCTTGCCTTTCCAGGAAGCTTATCTAAGATATACCTCCATCCTTTCTCCTATGCATTCCTGTTTGCTTCAAGCCAAGTAGAAGAGGTACATAAAGTATCTTATATTTCTGTAGCTGTCCAAGGTGTACAAAGCCTGGTGAGTTAGGTAGTGCAAGTATTATCATCCCTACTTTACAAATGAGAAAACCAAGGCTCTAGTAAGTGTCAGTGCTGAGACTTAAGCCCTGATTTTCTGACTCTAAGACTAATGTACTCTAACCACTTTACCAGGCTGCTTCTTGCTTATTACATGGGAGGAACTAAGGAAGACTTGTTATCCAGATCTTTCATTTCATTGGTTTGGTGAACATTCACTATGGAAGCTTCTCTATTGTAAATCATCTTCTCATCTGTAACATATAATCTATGAAAATTGCTTGGGGACTGGGAACTAAAGTGATTTGCCAGTAATCACAGTTTGTTGTCCGTTATGACATGCACTCAAGACTTTAGGAATTCCAAGACTAACCTTGTATCTACTATACTTTTTATAGAGTAGGGGTTAAAATAAAAAGAGTATGACATTTATTTTGCCCCTGAGAAACTGAAACCTCTTGGTGAGGGAGGGAGGAGGCAAGACTTCAACACATGACATATAACAAGGTAACAATGTAGGACTATGTAAACAAATGTTAAATTATGTACTACAGACTGCAGGATTTCAGGGAAAGTAATGGTCAGTTGGAATAAGGAAGATTTTGTAAGACTTAGTTCAAGGTGAGACTTGAATTTGCTGTGGAAACCTACTAGTCACCAAACTCTTCATACTAATTCTTGTTATATTTACCTCAGTAGTTTGATCTGAAGCAATCCAGATTTCTTGATATCCTGATGGGTTACTGATAGGATGAGATTTAGATTTGTGGATAGCGAACAATGATATAGACTCAATGATTGGTACCCAGGTAACAGTAGCTGATTCTGTTGTTGGATATACATTTTAATCCCTTTAAATTGTACCCTGCAAATAATTTTCTTAGACCTATGTCCCTTTACCATGGTTCCTATTTGGAATGCCCTTCCCATCCTCTCTGACTCTTTCTAAACCTCAATCAAGATTTCCTTTCCCTAGGTTGTTGTTCTTTAGTTGTTTCATTTCTGTCCTATACTTTGTGACCCCATTTGGGGTTTTCTTGGCAAAAATGCTGGAGTGGCTTGTCATTTGCTTCTCCAGCTCGTTTTACAGATGAGGAACTGAAGCAGACAGGGAAGTGACTTGCTCAGGGTCACATAGCTAGTTAGTGTCAGAGACCAGATGTGAACTGAGGAGGATGAGTCTTTCTGACTCCAGGCCCTGCACTCTACCCACTGTGCCACCATGCCTTCCCTAATTTACTGATCATTGTGTTACTTTTGTTTTCATTAGGATTTTAGTAGTCTTTTCCCTTCCCCTCTTATTTCTGTGCTGCTTTGTATGTGTTTATGAGTCTTTTCCCATATGAGTGCATTTTTCCTGTCTCCCCTACTAGGTTTGGAGAAACCATGTCTCTGATTTTCTTCTCTGCTTTAACCAGAGTTCAACGCAAGCTTTACATACAGGAAATAATCTATATACATATATACTATTGAATAAAGGACTCCTTCGGAGTCAAATGCCCATACAATTTGGGGTAATTTATTCTGTTTACCTTTTTCTGTTGGTAGAGGGAAATGAGTGACTGAGCTTTTAGGAATTCAGACTATTGTCCTGGCATCCTAGGAATTTGTTTGACCTGCTTTGGGGAGGTCAGCCTACTTTGTTGACTCATTGACAGATGAAGTGAGCTGACTCAGGTAGCATTCTTCATGCATTCCATTTAAGCAGAGTATTCTCAGAGTTCTCTGCTTGAAAGCTGAAGTGGCATGTGTCACCAAAAACAAAAAACAATGGCCACCACAAATAGAGCAACAACACAAGTCAGTAGAAATTTCTTGACTCCACGTTATCTTTGCTCTGCTCTTCATCCTGGTCTGGCTGTGATTCTGTTTGAAGAATTACCTAGAAATTTGTGATTCAGAAAAGGTAGGCTCACCTCCCTGCTCATGTGTTATTATTATTAAAAAGTTTTTATTAATTATCTAATTGCATGTTATCCTGCATAGCAAGCATGTGTTGCCCTTTATATAGGGAAGCAGTATAGTACAATGAAAAGAGTGCTAAGGGCAGCTAGATG